AGCATGTAGTAGTTGAGTACTGTCAACTTTTCAGAAGAAAAATTTCCTGCCAAGACAGAAAAGTGTGGGAAAATGTGGTATGATGCTTTCCTGGCAAAAGATTCACCTTCTCAAAGTTATAAATACTTATATTAGATTAAATCCCCATGCAGTGACATGTGGTATTATTGTCTGCTATTATTTTTCCGCTCTGTTTCCAGAATAGTTATGCATCGGTAACATGTAATTTAGGCTTAATTAGGGCTGCAGCTAATTGATGGACTTGAAAGCAGCATTCTTATATGTTTTATAAGAATTACATGATATTTGATCATACATGTTACACAGTTCTTTCATCCCTGAGTAATGAAAAATATATAAGTATATAAGGAACAATTGGTTTCACTCTTTAGACAAACAAACATTTAGGTTAAATGATAATTAACTCATAAATGTTATGGAAAGGGAAAAATATAGGTAAAAGATATTGTATCATATATTTGCCCATGTATTTATTTTATTTATTTATTTTTTATTATTCTCTTACTCATTTTAGAACATTTATCCTTAAGTGAGTGGAAGCTGTAAGGAGTATAGCTACAGGCATTAACATTTGATTGAAAAATTGATACACAAAATACCAGAGTTTCTTAGGCATCTCATCTTGGATATTTAGATCGGAGTGACAGTTTGCTTAGACATTTTTTTTAAGACTGTGTGTTTAGCAATAGTGTTTATATCATTACATTTGAATGCACTACAGTATTAGCAGATAAAATTCCAACTTTACAATTTTAGGTTGGATCTGTATTTATTCAGCCAGCTGTACCATCCATAAGCTCCAGATAGGACACTTTTCATGTTTAGGATCCTATTCCAGCCCTCTGTGACTGGTGGCACAAGGTGTGTCATAGAAAATAAAGCAATACGAAACTACAAAAGAGTGACATAAGTAACAAAATGTTCCTTTTTGTTATTGCTATTGCACAGAGTTGTAGATTACCAAAAGAGATGATATTGAGTCTGGTCAAGGAACATAGTCTATTACTATAGATACAGCATATCAGATCAAATGCTTAGGCATAAAAAGAGCTAATATCATTGCAAAATCAAAGCAAGGTGTCTTGACACCACACACAAGTGTTCTTGTGGGCAGGGCCTACAAACCAGAGAGTTGGCATTCAAATAAGCCTAATGCCTGGATTTTGGGCCAAGTGCAGACAGCTAGCCACCCAGATCCGACAGGTTAATCATTTATCTCTTGTAGTCAGCATCATACCTTATTCCATAATAATGCCTTACATAATTTTAGATTATGAGTAGTCTCATTGTTCACCTTTTTATGGCAGCTTTTCAGATATTGTTTGTATGAACTGTATTCATTCTTCTGTTGTCATAAATGAGATTCTTGATATAATATTATTGCTATTATTAACAAATGTATCTTGAGAAAAATTGGTAATATTGGTTATTCTCATTTGTTGTTTCTTCTTCTTTTTTA